GGCTATGTGTATGTGTGTGTGTGAGTTTGAGTGTGAGTGAGTGGCCGTAAAAGGTTGCGCTGCTTGTAAGTGTGCGGCAGTGTGAGTGAGAGTGCGCGCTTGTGTGAGTTAACGGGGATCGTGTCTTCAGACTTTTGTGACCGGCTGAGCACAGTGATGCGAATACCATTTGCCATTTGCACAAATTTTACGGCGAAGGCGAAGTGTAGATGTATGCATTTGAGATATAAAGGTTCGAAGACCTTGATAATAATACAAAGAAATTATATTAAATAATATTCATTTATAGAATAACACCATCCTTTACAATAACACTTAGTGTATCATTGTTACTATTATTATTCCATATCATGAGAGTTTATATGGATTTTACCTTACGAGTAATATATTTTATTCAGTATACACACAAGTTTGAATTTGAAATAATTTATTTTTCCTTATAAAAATCTGACAAAATCTAATTTTAAGTAGAGTTCTTTTTTATATGCTTGGGAAGCTAAAACTACTTTCTAAGCTAATACAAAATCAGCACAGATATCTTAACACTTAGCCAACTGTGCGAATTACTTTCGAGGTACGTTCAAGAGCTTAAAAGGTGAACACTCACAAACAGTCAGCACCCCCCTCGTTGTCCAAGTCTTTGGCTACATAATTTCAACAATATGCGTGCATAGAGAACAACACCTCCCGACCACCCCCTGAAATGCACACGAAAACGAAATCAGACATAAAAACATTAAATTACAAACCCTTATTTTACACACTAAAAAAGCAAAAAAAAAAAAAAAAAAAAAAAAAAGCTGTCGAGTCATAGTCAAAGCAAAGGCGAAAGAAAACCGAGACATAAAACTGAAACTGAAACAGAGAAACGCGACAGGACCAAGGACGCAGCACAACAAGGGGCGAAAACAGCGACGTCGAACGTTCTGTTCCACAAGGGATGCAAACGCAAATGCCAGATATTAACCCCTCTCTATAGGTGTGTGTGAGAGAGTGTGTGTATGTGTTGGTGTTGCTGCGTTCTGCTTTTGTGCGATGTGTTTTCGCCGTGCTTGTCAATTTTTCGTGCCAAAACAAACGCAACGAACATTTTCGCCGATTAGAAAGAAACAATTCGTGATTGCAACGTGAGCGCCGCGCGCCGCTGCCAGCGAAAACGAACGTTTTCGAAACGCTGATAAAAACACACAAATAAATGTAATAAATTTAATTAATTTCCTAATAACAAACAGCACGAAAAAAAAACTCAATGGAATTCACCAAAAAATATAAAATAAATAAATATAGAAAAATTCCCGGAAACTTAAAGACGCAGCCGAGTTTCGTCTTTGTTGTGATTGTTTTGGTGCTGCTTTTTGATTCTTCTTCTTGAAATAGTTCTTTGTGTCTGTGTTCGTGTCGTGTGCGTGTGTGTGTATGTGTGTGTGTGTGTGCGTGTATCTGTGACTCAGCGCAAATGGCTGTGCGCATCTTTGTTTACCTTTACCACAACTGAGGACTGCTGCCACTAGCAAATGCGGCGCCAAAATTTGGCAGCATACAGCAGACAATGAGCGAATCCATTGATGATTTGCATGACGACAACAGCAATAATAATAACAACAGCAACATTGCTGCCGCTGCTGCCAATAACGATGGCGATTCAGATGTGGAGGTCATCGAGGGCATGCAGCTGCTTGAGGGCAACTATCAAGTGCTGCGCCAGTGGGTGCCACCAGCGCCCAACTATTGGGATGCCCCGCCTAAGGCGATCATCAAATCCGCCGAAGTTAGGTAATTAAACAAAAGTGTAACAACTTGCAAGTATTTGTACTGCTTATGTAGTGAACTTTTGCTCTGGAAAATATCTGAAGGAGAGTATTATGAGCTCGTACGCATGTATGGAACATGCACTGGCAGACAACCACTATGCATATTCATAATCATAATCATTATCGCACAATCCATTATGCATTTCGATTCTCGTGTTTTATTTTAAAATTATAAAAAGCGATTGGTTTATTTTGGAAAAAGAGAAACTATATTTCATTGATTTCGCTGACTGTATACGCACATCAATCAATTGATGGAGTAACATAATATTCTTATTGAATTTCATATATTTTTATGTAATTTAAATGTCTTCTTAAAATGTAGGAGCGACTATTAACTAACAGAAATAAATACCCATAATCTAGACTGTATTCCACTTTGTAAATAATTTACACATTATTGCCGAAGGAGATCTCCTAGTCTTTCAATTTACACTATTGCTATTTCACTAAGCACACTCAATATGTTTTAATTAAATGCCACAATTTGACAGCGCATTCCACTGGCTGTTTGGCTGCACAAATTGCACAGCAATTAAATCGAAATTCATAACAGACTCAACTCATAGCAGACTCTACTCGATTCGAGCTCGAACTCGATCTGTCTTGTAGGCATTGGGCGTTTATCTAACGGTACTGTTCAATATAAGTGCAGTTATGTCTAACGCACTTTTATGGCCACACAGGCGAGATTGGCCGGACCATTACGATTGGCTGCTTAATGGATTTGGCCTCGCATCTGACAAACTCTGTATATGCCGCAAATTTACAGCTCTGCAATTCATTCAATAAAATTTTGATTATTATGGCTGTCATCTAAAGCTGAATATGTATGAACAACATAAAAAAACTAACATCATTTATTATAAAGTAACAAGCTGGGAATGCTGACTTTGGCTAGAGTCGCATCACGCAATACCCTTACTATGTGGAGATGCTGGGGAGGTTTGTTTTAACACATATCCAATTTGCTGACTTTAGCTTGGCTAGTTTATAAATATTGCTGTTGAACTTGGACGAACATATAATTTAAATGTTTGTTAAACTATATATACTTACTATACTTACTCAAACATTGTTTACGAAATACCAAGCACTACATGTTGTAGATAAGCCTTTTGATCTTATTAAGCTAAATTTGGTATCTCGGTTTGATCGATTGTAATATATTTTTTAAACAAGCAAAATTTATATACTAAATTAACAAATAATAAATAAGCAATATTTTTCATCGCTGTAGAAAGCACAGCTTAAATTCAGCTCATTCTACTATTTACTAGTTTGACATAATAAAGTGTTTGCCTCGTAAACATTGCATATCCCATTGCAAAGTGCATATGCTTTATGTTAGTGTAAATAAATATATTTGTATGAGTGGCTGCCTTCACTCAAGAAGCGCCAACAGTCTGAGAAGTGCTGCCGGCTGCACGGCTGCTGACTGCTGGCTGTTTGCTGCCTGACAGCAGCACCAAGTGCTTTGGAACATGTTCAACATTGGAGCCGCAACAGCCAGCGAGATGTACATAGATGTTGGTGGGTAGAGATGTTTGGGGGGCTGGGATTGAAGGCTGGGTTAACAGCTCTTCCACAAGTGTCTTCGTCTGCATCGTTGACAACTGCAACATGAGTTTGCTGAATTGAATTGAGTTGCCTGAGCCGCAAGTTGCCCCCTTGCCACCCGCTGCCTGTTGCATGGCTGGTAAATAATAAATGCATTACTTGAGTGCATGCGAAATGGAAATCAAAATGCAAACTCTGCCAGATTTTTGCTGCTGCTGCATCTGCCACCGCTGAGGCATCAAGTGCAGCAGCGCAGATGTCGATGTCGATGCCGATGTTGAAGTGCCGTTCCTCTACCACGCTCCCCAGGCTGGCTACGTTTTGTTTTTGCCCGTCGGCCCGTTAAGTGCAACCCAAAGTTTCGCATTGCATGTGCATTGTGCGAATGCTGCAAGTGCTACGAGTAACTGTTGCACGTTCTCAATATGCATTGCAGAATTACAATATCTTGATTGCATTTCGCCAGGCACGTAGATGAGACACATGCTCCCAAAAGAGAACAAAACAGAGCACCAAAGCAAAATCCCCATGCTGAGCCATAATAATGAGCGCATATTGAAATTGCCAACAATGCCATCCAGCGGCGCATTTCCGGCCAAGGGAATGCGGTCAGTTCTTATGCTTCTTCTTCTCTTGCAACGATCCATGCTTCCTCTGCTGCGGTTAGATGGCTTTGCCAGGACTAAATTACTTTATTTGTACTCTTTTTGGTTGAACTAGCTTGACTGTTGCCTGGGTAATGGATATGGCTTTGTTTTGTAAGAGGGCAAAAGTTTCCGATTCTATTGTTGCTTTCTTCTGTAAAAGGCCACAATGAGAGGCTATCTTTCACAATAAAAACAAAAGACTAAAGATTTTTGTTTTATGGTTACTATAAGCTTGAGCACTTAATTGTCCTTAAAGTTATAAATGAATGATAAAATATATATGCATTCAATACATTGTATAAAACATTTCATACGTTGTCAATAAATCAACTTTATGTTTGCCCTTCTTTTGTTGCAGGTAAGTTTCATTTGTTTTCCACCACGTCGACTCCTTTCACTTTGTTGCCTGCCAGTCACAACCACAAAAACAACAACAACAACAACGCATATCAAAAACTAAAGCAATTTTGAATTGTGTGAAGGCGGCACGTCAATGTCGTTGAGTCTGAAATAGGAGTGGAGGTTGAGAGGAGAAATATAAGGTTGTGAGCATGGTATGTTGATGAAAATTACGATGACTTGTCACACGAGCTCATGAATTTAATTTGGCTTTGTGGATTGTTAGCAAATTAGCACAATCCCCCCAGAATTTTGGTTGCATAAATTGCAACTTGCTGGAGGAAAAACTCAGGCACAAGCATTCGATGTAATATAGAGCCAATGAACACGTAAGCAGCATAAATGAACGCAGAATCATAAACAATTTCCACAGCTATGACAGTTATTGTTAGTCAATATAAGGTGGATATATAACTTGGCAGCATGACAACCGGACTTTGAAGAAGTAACTAATATTTTGAATAATTGCGCCCATTTTACATCTTAGAAAAGTTTATCAGAGACTTGACACGAATTGCTTTCAACTCGAGCAAATAGAAACTAAAGCTTGAAGTACAATTCTCTCATAAAAAATATTGAATAAAAACACAGCATCAAGATGATGGGGAATACAGAAATACACAATTCAGAACAATCGAATTTGAATTTTGTTGTTAACGATAAGAAAAGCTTATTCAATGAAAAAGGGGGCTTGCCAATATTTTTGGCAGAAGAATTGGTGGAGAATGTCTTCGGAGAGATCAATAACCGCAACAAGTGTCATATCAAAATTAGCAGCAGTAAATGCCAAAGCTTCCAACAGAAATCCCAAACTTATGGTGACAATGATGACATGGATCCGCGTCTGAAATGCTGGAACAATATGCTCCGGGATCGAAAAGTGTTACAGCAGCGCATCGAGCGTCGCACTGGCAAGCGTGCCGAGGATGTTCTCTTTAATCGCCATGCCACCATCGATGTGCAGGCCAAGCAGATGATTATCCGTCTCTTGGATACTGCTGAGCGTAGCAAGGGTGTTCCTCCGAACCGGGTCAAGGGTGTGCTACGGATGCGCCACAATGCAGAGCTGTGCCGCGAAGTACGTGAGCTGCATCCAACGGAACCGAAGCTAGAGCGTTTGGCGTTTGTGGGCTTGCCAGAGGTAACGCAGCTGGAATTGGCTAACACAGTGCAAACGGGCGAGACTAAATGGCTACGCTCAGAGGTTCTGAGTGAACGTCTGGAACAGCAGGAGGAGAATATCTTGAGTGTGATGTCCCACTATCCAGAGCTGGATCAGCTACAGATAACCACATTGATTAAAAGTCCTGCGGTGCCAGTTATTGACACCCAATGCCTTGGCGACGACCTCATTTTGTGTGTGTCCGAGACGACAGAGGAAGCCAAAGAGGATGCACCGCAATCACCTAAGCCGATGCCGCCGGTCGAGAAATTCGAGAAGAAAACCAGATGGGAGGAAAATAATGTGATTCTAATAAATGGAATATCCTACGGCTTTGGCTCAAACAGCGATGTTCTGAGCGGAGATCTGCACTTGTTACTCCAGTGCGATCCACTGCAACGCATTCGAAAGACAATTGTGCAGCTGGATAACATTGGCAATAAGTTCATCCAGATACGCTGGCATCAAATGAGTCTACTGAATAAGGAGCTGCATCAGCACACGCCAATCCGCTCGGAATTCGTATTCGACTCACAGCCCTTTGTGCTGCTGCCCGGTAATCAGCGACGCATCGATGTGCTCTACCAGCCATCCAGGGTGGGCGTTAAGAAACAACACTGGTGCCTCGTCATGCAACGCTCTCCCTTCTGTGGAGTTCGTCGTTTACATATACGCTTCCATGGGGTCTGCACGCAGCCAGTTATATACCGGGATCGTCTCGATTTGGATCAGCGTTTAGTTATTAACAAACGCAATCGGCAGATCAATGAGCGTCTAACTCAAATGCATGCTGAGCTCGCGCCAATGGTGGAGCGCTCAACGCTGAGCTGTCCTTATCAGCGTGTCCTGGATGAACGTGAACTATTCAGCGTACAGAATCCGGGCTTCAAGTGCGATCGATATGCGGATCTGGAAACGCTCAAGGAGCTCTATGTGCTGGTAAAGAAGCCGCGACAGCCACCCTGGGACTACCGCCTGGAGACGCTGCGGCAATGCATTTACCAGCACGATGCGGAGCATCGTGAATCCCTTCAAAATATCGTAGTCGAATTGCTATCAACAATGCGCGGCAATTCAAATGAGGTCTTCCCGAAAGAGAAGGTGGATATGCAGCGGGAGCGTTCCTGTTTTCTCTATGTTCGAGGCATTGTCGGCAGCACGATTGATGAGTGGGAGAACATTAGCGATGGCTTGGGAGAGAAGTTTTTCAAGTCTGAGCTGCGGCGCTACAGGAATGAGCTGAAGGAGAAGTCCAAAAAGCTTCCTTACGACAAGGATTATGTGAAATCGTTAGTCTTCAAGCGGGTGCTCAGCTGCAAATACTTTAAGGATTCACTTTACATACACACGTATTCTCTTGTCTGTGATGCTGCGGAGAACATTGTATCCGCCATTGAGAGCGCTTTGACTCATTGAGCCAATCAGTTTTCATTCATCATTCACTTCGAATTCGCTTCGAAACTTTTACAATGCTTTGTACTTCCACAATAAAAATAATTTCAAATCAAATCATCATTCACCAAATGAACTGACATATTTTCGAGTTTTTCAATGCACTAGAAAAGTATTCATACTTTCAACAATATTCTATAATCATGAAAAGCAATCGGGATAGTAAATTGTTGATCAACACAAATATCAACTTGATCAGTATTCCACCATCTTCAAGGGCATCCTTCAAGAATGATGGGCTGGAACAGCTCAAAGCTGGTGCCAGCATGGTGCACTACAGCGAACACATTGTGGAGGAGATACTGGCCGAGATGTTTGCGGAGCGTCGGGGACACTTTCCGGAAACGTCCTCATCTTGTGAAAAAGACCAGGTGAACATGGCACAGCATGCAACTGAGCAGCACGTGGACAGGCGTCTCAAATACTGGCGCGAAATGCTGCTGAAGCGTCGCCGAATGCAGAAACGCGTCGAGATCCAGACTGGAAAAAGTCCGGAGGAGGTGCTATTCAATCGCCGCTCCACATTGGAAAGTCGCAACAAGGAGACGGTCTTGCGTATCATGGACTATGCAGAGCGTTTGCAACCAGAAAATCTAGTAACCAAGCCAGTCAGTCAGCTGAAGGAGATCGAGAATCGCTGCGCATATCTGGGACCCATCAAGGAAACATGGCCGCAAGCGGAGCAGCTCGGTGTCAAAAATGTCGAAATAATTGGATTGCCTAGTGTAATACAGACTGAACTACTGGGCAGCGAGGCTGCCAATAGGAAGCTGCAACATAGCTGGATGAAGTCCGATGTGCTGGACGGACGCATAAGTGAGCGCTTCGATGATGTACGCCAGGTGATCGAGTTCTTTCCCGATCTGGATAAGCTTCAAGTAACAGGCAGAAGCATTGAACAACTAAGACCCATTCAACGAACTGTGCTGCTTAAAGAGGAGCATCTGGTAACAGTCACGACCAGTTCGGATGAAATGTGCTCGGAGGAGCAATATTGCGAAGGCTGGACAGAGCCACTAGTATCGGAGTTGGAACCGACGTCGGTGCCAGAGCCACCAGAGTTGGGACTCAGTGTAAATGGCAAGGACTATATTGTATATGAGAAGGGATTCACTGAATGCCTTGATATGCTCACTAAATTTAAATGCGATCCCTTTCAAAGACGCATAAAGCTTGTGCTCAAGTTAAAAAACATTGGGAAGCAAATGTTGTCCTTTAGCTGGACCCAAGGTGTATATTACTACAATTGCGGTAAACTGCTGCTCGCCCAGGACAATGAGTTTCATTTTGACACTGACAACTTTCGGCTAAAATGCGGTGAATCCTATAATCTGATGGTCATGTACCAGCCACGCAAGGTTAGCATGGCCGTGGAGCTATGGCGTCTGCAGGTGGAACCGCGCATCTTCTGTGGTAAGCAGGAGTCGCTACAATTGCGCTTCCACGGACGCTGCACCCCACCCAAGGAGTACATGGCCAGGCTAAAGGAGCTCCATTCCGTGGCCATGTGCAAAGCGAATATCATTGTGATGAAGGAGCTGACGACTCACTTGGCGGAAATTGTGCCTCTAATAGAGCCACCGCCCGCCTGTTGCCCCTACGACCGGGCCATCGATGTGCGTGAGTTGTTCAATTCATTAAATCCGGGCTACAACTGCATCAGGTTCGATGATCTGGAGGTGCTCAAAGGCATGCACAAGCAGCTTAAAAAACCACGGGAGCCCCATTGGGATTTTCGCTTGGACACCATCAAGATGCTTATCATGCGCATCGAGAGCTTTGACCGACGCGAGGAAATGTTTGCCAGTTTGATGGTTCTTTTGGAACCGCTCTTTGGACCTGCTCCCAGTTTGGAATACCTGAGCCAATTGGATACGCAGAAACAGCGCACTAGATTTATTTTTGTACGTGGAGTCATTTGTAATGGCATCGAGGAATGGGAGGATCTTGTCTTTACCACCGAGGAGTCATTCTACAAACCAGAGTTACAACGCTATTATATGCACCTGCTGGAGGAGGCCGAAGAGGAAGATGTCGTTGAGGGAATTCCGCGATCCAAAATGAAACTATCTTCAAATTTGGACGTCGAAGAACTGGCCGATCATTTTGATGAGAAAGCCCATACTGCAGTTTTCAGGAAATTGATTCACTCCAAATTCTTTCGAGATGCGCTCTACATGCAAACTTATTCGCATCTGTGCAATATTGCTGAGAACGTTGTTTCCGTCATTGAAAGTACTGATGTTGTGCCCACTTGAGGACCTATAATAGCTAACTCCAAGAAAATCACATTGATTTGTAAATACGACCTTCAACCATATTCTTTAATTAATACAATCTGCAAATTTCAGTTCTGCAATATTACTTCACTGATTTTAATATGCATTCACCTAAATAAGTCAAATAATCCAATTATTATTTATATTATATATATTTGTACATAAATGTATATTTATTGATATATATTTTTGGAGAAGGTATAAGTTATCACAACATTTTATTTCCTGTCATTTCAAATTTTTGCAACTGACAAATAGGTAATATAATGTCTACAATATATTCAACTAGTTAGCACCCATGACTGCAAGTAGCTGTTTAAAAACGTAGTTTGCTTCCCTTGAAGATCAATTGAGTAACATGCAAGTTTCGACTCCGGATATGAAAACCGGAAATCATTTTATCTATAACATCGTTGATAATATCTTTCAGCAATGTCATTATACAGAATCGGATTCTCAGTGTTCGTGTCATTGCAATTCTTGTGCTACTGAGAGTCTGGTTGACAAACGTTTACAATATTGGAAGGACATGATACGAAAACGACGAATACTGCAACGGAAAATGTGTCTTACCACTAGCAGGAAGCCCGAACAGTTGCTGTTCAACATGCAGCAAATAGAACTGGACGATTGTCCTGAAAACTGTAAACTCAAGGTAATTGGCCGGAATATATGGATCAGGCAACCTTGTGAACAAATTTCTGGTCACACAATAACGGACTCAACACCCATAGAGCTGTCGGAGCCAATTGGCGCTACTTCGATCATGTGTGGTGACACATGCGTAAAGTGTAGAGCATTTGTGGCTGCTGCATCGCAACTGGCGCTGCTTATCAATGGCACCACCTATCGCAGATATCGTCCCGAGTTTTCACCCATATTGGAACGCAGGTTCGTTTGTAATCCTTACGAACGGTGTCTTCGCACCATAATGCGTATCGAGAACAACGGACGCGAAATTATCAACTTCAAATGGTGTTCTGCCGACTTCTTTGCATACAATAACACGCTCTTCAACCAGGAGCGCGATGCGTTTGTCTTCGATGCGAAACCTTTTCAGTTGGCACCAGGCGGCGTACGCGAGGTCTCTGTGCTCTTTTGTCCTCGCAAGATCGGCATTGTGAAGCAGCGTTGGTATCTTTACACAAAACCGCGCATTTTCTATCGATGTCCCTGTGCGCTGACTCTAAATATGCATGGCAGGTGCACACCCCCACTGGAGTACCTACGATTGCTGCAACAGAACATGGACCAAACGATGCGATACCGTCGCCAAAAACCATCTCTGGGCATGCGTCAAATAACGCCCTTCAAGTCTCCCAGGACGCTTTGTCCCTTCGTTAGAGAGCTGGACGACTCAGAGATTTTTAATCTACGCAATTTTGGCTTTCATTGCAAACGCTCTAGCGATATTGAGGGCCTAAAGCGATTTTTTGAGCGCGGCTGCGCGAATAGTATTTGTGATTTGAAATGGGACTATTGCGTTAGAACGTTAATTGAATTGGTTTGCTCCACGGCAGATCGGCTTCAGCGTATTGAGCTCTTCGAAGAGTTGCAACTGCTGCTGTCCCAACTACGGGGTAGGACTGCCTCCATAATCCCCAGCGAGGCATCAGCTAAATCAAAGCAACAGCAACGAACGAAATTCATCTATGTTCGTGGCCTCATCTCCAGCGGCATCGAATTGTGGGAACAGAAGATTTGGTTACTGGCAGAACAGGTGCTCAAGTCCCTGGTAAATACAATTTCCGACAATAGCCAAGCTCAGGAGATGCTGAAACAATCAAAGTACTTCAGAGACTCCATCTACATGTACACATATGATCAGCTGTGCGACATTGCCGAGAACATAGTGTCTGTCATCGAAAGTTCTGAGCATGCTTAAATGTTACTCCTTGAAATGTTATACCTGAAAAAAAAAACCAAAAATATTAGTAGACAGGGGAACACATTATACGTACAAAACTTAACACACAATGGAAAACAACAAAACGCGATATGAATCGTTGATAACAGCAGTGCAACCGGGCGAAGACCTCAGCAATGCCAATAAATTTTCATATAAGTCGGACAACTCGGAGGTGGTATATCGGCAATATGGTCAGCTGAAGCCTGTGACTCAGCATGATTGCCGAGGGGTGGTCGGTGCGATTGTCAACGAGATTTTCGACCGCAAAGTTGGCATTGCCAGTATTTCAAAGAAGCAACGTTGCGTTAGTGAAGAATTTAAGGACTCGGAAGATATGGATAAGCGTCTGAAGCAATGGCAGGATACGTTGAGGGATCGTGTCAAAATGCAGAACAAAATAACCCGTAAGACGGGCCGCCGACCGGAAGAAATGCTCTTCAATTTGCCCGCCACCGTAGAGCAGCGCGATAAGGGCACCGTTCAACGTCTGATGGATTATGCTTCACGTCTGAATCCCGTCAAGCTACAACAAAAGGTAGCCGGCGTGCTGCCCGAGCTGCATAACGAGTGTATCTGTATGCAGGAAATTCAAGAGACCTTACCACAAGCGGAGCAAGACAAAAGAACTGCTGTTGAAATCTCGGGTCTCACCCAAGCAACTAGGCAGGAAATCCTCTGTTCAAAAAACGAGTTAATATCACAAAAATCAAGGGAGGCCACTAAGTGGCTAAATTCGAAAGTGCTGAATGAGCGTATTGAAAATGAGGCCGTGGATATTGGCCGAGTTTTGGAGTTCTATCCGGATGTTGACAACCTTCAGATTATCGGAGCTAATCCACTTAATCCGCCCAGCAATGAGCACAACGAGGAAATCACTCTAATGGTAAAGAAGTCAATGCATTCCATTAGCAGCACTACCATTAGATCGAGCTATCAGGAGCAGAAGCTGGAATCGGTGAAGAATGAGAAAGTGCAACAGCTTGCGGTCAAAATGGAGCCATTTAATGTTGGCTTAAAAATCAACAACCAGACTTGTATTGCGGACATCTACAGCTGCTGCAGCAATATCGATCTGCAGTGCAATTTGGAATGCGCACCCTACGAAATACAGGTGAAGCAAGTGCTGCGACTGGAAAACATTGGCAGAAAGATTATCGTCTGTGAATGGCAAGTGCTGGAATGTGCCAAATGTCACGATGAATTCCTATTTGACAATAGAAAAATAAAGCTATTTCCTGGAGACGTGCACATTACCCGTGCACTTTTCCAACCACGCGAGATATGTGTGCGTAGACAGCACTTGGAACTGCGAATCTTTCCCAACATATTTGGCACATGTCGCAATTCGCTGCTGCTGACGCTTCATGGCAAGTGCGTATCGCATCCAGAGTATTTAAACAAGCTCAATAAGAATTTGCAAATAATTGTGAATAAATCAAATGAGCAGGCCACAAAATATCTAGCGGCACACCATGCGGAGTTGGCCCCACTGATACAGCCACATGAGCGTCTGTGTCCCTATGAGCGGGTCTTTGATGAGCGAGAGTTGTTCAATGCTAAGAATCCTGGCTACCATTGCGATCGCTTTGATGATTTGGAGACCTTGAAGATATTGTATAATATTTTGAAGACGCCACGCGAACCGGAATGGGATTTGCGGTTGGCGACCATTAAAGAACTGATTATGCGTTTAAGTGATATGGAGAAACGCGAGATTTTCTTCAGGATGTACATCGATGTGCAGGAGCCGCTTTGCTACAAATATACTGCCGGCATTGTCCACTTTGAGCACAATTACGAGCGTGATCGGTCTCGTTTCATCTACGTGCGAGGCTGCATAGGCAACGGCATCGAGGAGTGGGAGAACTTAATGCTATCATTGGAGCAGAATTGCCTAAAGTCAGAGCTGACTCGCTTCTATGCACGACTCGCCGAGGAAGCGAAAAAAACAGGGGATTACTCCTCGGAGAACGAAGATACCAAGCCCTGGTTGCAGCAACTAAAATATGATCAGCCAGAATTGTATGTGCTGAGAAAGTTACGAGCCAAAAAGCACTACAGAGACTCTCTCTATATGCGCACCTATACCCAACTCTGCGACATAGCTGAGAACATTGTATCCGTTATAGAGAGCACAGAGCACATTTAAACAAAAATAGTTTATTTTAGATTCTGTACTAAAGTGCATTAAGAGTGCCTGAGAGTCAACTTGGTAAAACTGTTTTCAATTGCAAAAATTTGTAGCATACGCTCGAGTGTTTACTATATCAATACTATATATGCAATAGTTTTTTAATGTGCAGTCGATAGCCAAGTATTAGTTTATCAAATATATGCATACTTTTCGGTGTTAGCTGACCAAATTTGTAGTTTATAAAATAAACTATTTAAGGCGCACACTGGCAAAGCTGACAATTTATATTATTTTTTTTTAACGGGGAACGAAAAATTGTTTAGCTAATTTCTATTCTAAGTTGCAACATTGAAATTGTGTATGTAAATATCATCTAAAATATACACACAAACACTTAAATAATTCGATTGTTTATTGGTATCTATAACTTTATCAATACTAGGTTTGAATTTCAAAATCAATATATATTTTCGACCATTTCGACTCTATAATAAAACTTACGTTTTTTTTAAAGTATGTTGTTTCCATATTTTTTATTATTATTATTTCCATAGCATTTCAACTTATAGCTAAGCCACACAGAGAACGCCTTTAAATCGAAACGTTACACTCCCCTGGGGAGACGCCTATTGATTTCCCTCATACAGAAAAAATCTATTAGTTAACTTGCGCAGAACTATTTCATGCCTAAGGACACACCTGTGCCCTGCCAGGCTGCCATCCTGCCTGGTCGCTAACTTTTCCCATTATTACGACGTTTTATGAGCAACAGAATTGCCCATTTTCGTTTATACGCCATTCGAGGCCTCGAGACCTCGTTCCTGCCTCTGGCAAAGTACTTTAATAGCTGTTGCAAAAGTTTTGGTTTTCCCATTGGCATTTTCTTTGTCGTTGTCTTTCTGTTTCTGGGGGTTTCCTGTTCGATTTCTGCTACTTTGCATTGATTTGATGACACTTTGGGGGGTTATTTTATTTGGCTAATAAACGCTCCCTCCACACCGATTGCGTGTCAAGAAGTTATCCGCACATTTGCGAGTTCTTCGTTGCTCGTTGGTGTCTGTTGAAATGTGTCGACAAACGAGGTCATTATGTTTGCAATTAGCCAAATTGATTTTGTGATAGCAAACCCATCACATATACTAAGCATAAATTACTCATTTGAGCCCACATTTAATACCATTATAATCTGATTTTTATTTTCTTTCCCTTTTACAGGTAAGCTAACAATTGCACTATCATCGATTCATTATCCAATAGATACACTGCACTAGGTAAGTCTTCGTCCCCCAGGCGCCGGTTTCACACGCTGCAACGCTCTTTCTGTCAGACCCCCATAAATCATAACCATCAACGCATGGAAAAAAGAGCAAACGTTTCCGCTCTCGTTGGCATTGTTTGACTCCTAATTAACCCACAGACCGCATCAAGCATCAGGCGTTAATGTCGTATCTGACTTAATGACCGACCAGCCAAACTGTTTGTGGCACAGACACATGCTGACCAACCATTATCAACCTTGAACTTTGTGGCATACTTTTACTTATACAAAAAAATTGACATTTTCTCAGCAATCACTATTTGTTGGGTGACCAGTATGTTTTTATATGTGTTTATTTCAGGGTCTACAACGAAGCTAAGCGATTCGCTGTTATTTTAGGATGCTATAACATGGAATCGAAATGCAAATTCGTTGAACTGAAAAAGTCCTCTTAAAGTTTTACTGCTATTATGCTAATATTATGTTTCGACCTGTGTGGACATTGGTTATATTCAATTTGATCGTATTTATAACGAGAAGGTTTTCAACGAAATACTCAATTATGTATATAATTTGTGTATTTATTGATGAAAAAATAAAATTATTATACTGTTGAAAAAAGCATCTCTTTGGCTTTGCTAAAAACCCAGTGGCGCCATCTATCATTCGTTTTTTCTGAGATGGATAGTTAACATAACATTAGCATTGACTTTTAATTATTCAGTGCTTTGTATTAACAAATGTATATAGCTTCACAGCAAAAATAGTAAGTTAAGCTATTAGGCATGCCGAAAATCAAATAGTTATCATAAAGGCAACTTCAATCATTTTACTAGATAAGATGAAAAGCAAAAACAATGTTAGCTGTGCACTTAAGTGATGCCTAAAAGCATGCAATAAAAATTAAAAAACAAACTTAACAGCACTGAGAGCGAGCTAGAGCTTTAACATTTGCGACATGTGCGAGTGCGCAGTTTGAGAGCGACAGCGAACGCGAACGGTTTGCACCTGTTGCCAGCGCGCATTGGCGTTGTCATTGTGGATCGAGTCTCGGGGTCGATCACGCTTCATGTTTGTCGTGCGCCAGATCTGTCGTTTACCGTTGCACAGAGTGACGAGTGCCAAAGTTCAATAAAAGTTCCATAATTTTCACAAGTTGTTGAAATTAATGCGACAGTTAAACGGATTACAAATCAAAATAAAGTGGAGAATTCGCCTAATCGAAAAAACGTAACGCTATGCAGCGTGTTGTGAGAAGCAGCAACAAGGATAAGCAACAAAAAGTTTAAGCCTTTGGCAACAGTTAATAAATATCTGATCTAGTTCACGAGGCCGCTTGCGGCATGCTGACGCTATACGGATAAGCCAGCCGTTAAGGCCAGAGGCAAAGTGTTAAAAGGTGCGTCGATCGGTGTCTACATTGTCAACATTGCGATATACACACAAACTCAATAAGCAAAAAAAAAAAAAAAATTACCATAAAAAATTACATTAAAAATGTACAAAAAAAAGTCGAATTGAAATTCGAAACTGAGTTGAAATGCCAAGCACAGGCGTCGGTGCGGCTGTCTTAACGACTTTTCTGTGAGTTTGTGTGTGAGTGTGAGTTTTTGTTTTTTGTTTATTGTCTTGTCTTTATCATGAGCCGAGAATCGAGCGATCATTATGAAATGTGATGTGCGCAAACGAAAGACTTAGGCAACAAACTTGAGGCAAAGCATAAACTTAATAACCATTCATAAAGCCATGCACATTATGCGCAATCTTAGCGCACTCTATTTGATGTTTTTTTTTTTGATGCGTATAGTGCACTTTCACCAAACTGTTGCTACTGTCGCGGCTGCTGCTGCTGCTGCTGCAAATGAAGTCATAACCAAATAAGCCATTGAGCTGGACAGTACCATAAAAAAAACCACCTATATACATACATAGTTAGCAAGCACGCAGCTCGGCCATATAAGCCCACTGAGCAGTTGCAAATAATTTGATTATTGCCGGCGGCTTTCTCTATAGTAGCGTAATTCCTGATCCAATTACGTACTACCAAAACTCCCACAAGCTGACTGCAATGACATGGCTAACATGGCTGCAATGTGTCAACAATGGCTTGTTAGCCCAACAGCCATTGCCAATTGACATGTGTGTGTGTGTGTTTGTATGTGTGGGTTGCAATGGAAAACATGTTAAGAGCTAGTACACCTTATTGACAAGAATCGCAACGTAACATTGCGACCCGGCTGTAAACTTGATTCGTGTGTGGGCGATAACGTAAATTATCGGTGATTTCTAATTGCCTGACATGCCAATTAATGTATGTATAGCTATAGCTATAACTATTGGCCATTGGCAACCAGGCAATTGACTTTTATTGGACTAAATGCCAAAGCGCTTGAGAGTGTTTAAATTACTAGACCTCAGCTGCAACAAAAGTATGTATAGACTCATTGCCTATGCAGACAGTGCAACTTATGGCGGGCAGGCGGCGCAACGCCTTAATTAAAACTGGCAACTATGGATGCTACCATTTTCTTCGTGCGCGCTACCATAAAACAAAAAAAAATACACTTTTTAATTAAAACCAGACGCAAACCACAGCAGCACCTCTTACATGGTGCACTTGGTGTCTATTTGATTGACAAGCGGAACTGGTAATATTGGCGGGGCGGGAGAAGAAGGTCGACTGGTGTATCGGCCAAGATATGGGTTAGATGCGTCCATTTAGCCAGGCGTCGCCGATAGAGGAAAGTGCCAAAGCAGCTAGGCCAGTAATTTGCGGCCATATTTTATCATAACGCAGCAGCAACTAAAATTGGTTGCTTATTCGCATTGTGACTACGAAATTCTTTTGGCTGCAAAATGTTTTCGCTTTGACTTTAATTATGCGGCTGCTGCTGCAGCCGGCGGCTAAAACCAAAACTGCTGTTTATGGCAGCGCGAGCATTGCCCACAAATGTTCAACAGCCAATTGTGGCTTGGACTTTCTCTGTTGCAGCAGACACTTCTTTAAACTCAATTGCCGCCCCTGTTTAGTTGTTTGTCTTAAGAAATTGTTAGAGCGTAAACAATATCATTGGCATCAATGCGTTTAAATTTATGACTAACACCTCACAAAATTAACACAACAATCGAAGCACCTAACAGTTATATCTCCATAGCGTTAACATAGCTATACAATCGGTGTAAATGTGTGTGTGCGAGTGTTTCTTGTGGGTCAACAACCGTTGAACAGCAGCGCGCCTTCTAGAAGCATCAGCATCATCTTTGATTGTATTCCTCAGGCAAAAAATAATGTTCATAAAAATGTTCAGCGCTGTTATATTTGTTTTTCCCTTGGTTTTTTGGCAACTGAAATGATTAAAGCGCATTAATCATTTCCATATCAGAAATGCTTTTATGCCTATTTTTGGTCGCTAATTGACCAGCACACGCAATTAGCCAAATATTGTTATGTCTGTTGTGTTTGGCTTTTGTTGTCGATGTTGTTGTTTTTTTTTTATTACTTTTTGGTAGCGTTTCTATTATAGAACCTAGTCATAAATCATAAAGAGAGCCAAAAGTTGTTCGTAAATTAATTAGGCAAAATTACGACTATTTAACTGAGGAAGTTTCAGCTTATGGCGAATGCTAATGATGGCCATGATCTTCAACTAGTTGCTGAGAATGGGCGCAAACGCAAATATCTAGCTCAATGATAAATTATAGTTGCCGTTGCATCAATTGCTCAAGCTGACCGCGCATGCATCATCATCATCAGCATCATCATCATCATTATTATCATTATCATCATCGAACATCATTATTAAAATCGTTATCTATGTCGACTGCAATTGTAACTGTCAAACTGTCCGCTTGCGTTAGTGTGCAAATCATCTTCGTAATAGATAACAACTGGTTCACAGCCATCGCTCTGGGCGATCGGCCTGCGTCGATTTCAGTTCAGTTGTGTAAACTGGACCAAACGTTGAAATGTTTTGATTGCATTTGGCACACAACACGTACGGCGCTCAGCGGCGCTCAGATAAGACACGACTTGTTCTTAATTGAAGCAGAAACAACTTGAAAAATAAAAAAAAGCACGCCTACAACTACCTTTTTGGATTTGATTTCCTTTTTCCACAGCCAATTTGCCGTCTGTTTTGTGCAATTAAATTTCTATCAAATGACAGCAAATTCATTTAAAAGGCAATCAATTTGCCAAGCACAAAGCGTTTTGCACGCGGCTACAGCTTAATGAGCAACTTGGCCTGTGCAGCCATTAGCAGAGGCGTTAGATGATTATCTGGCCCAATGAAATATGAGACAGCAGCAGCAACATGCTAGACAATGGCTCATTAAAGTGCCTAGAATCGACTAAGACGTCTAAGCCGAAACTAGTTTGGCAGCTAAGAAGCTTTTTCGGAGACTAAACACTAAAGGCTAAAATGTGTTATTAGAATTTCTACAGAGAGCAGATCTAAATAATAGCTAAGATAGTGCTGCCACATAAAATATACAAACAAGTTAATCCATTAGCGGGCGCGGTCGTCTGCAGCTACATCTTATTCTATTTTCTGTGCCACCTGACGTTATGTGGCAGTTGGCTAACAGTAAAGCTATAACTGGAAAATCGTATATTGTAGCGCCTGTTATTAACTTCATGGGGCAGTTTGTACTCATGGCATTCGTATGCTAATGTCGAATATATGTCAGCTGCGGTGCCCCCCTTTTGACTTTGATCCATGTTGAAAATGATGAAATTTTACAATTTACAGTTCTCTGCCGCTGAGGTCGCAGCTAAATGAGTTGTCGTCTTCGTTTGCGGCTTTCTATTTGGCCTAAGCCGATAACTAAACTTGAAGTTTGTGGCATTGTCTGAGATTTTCCGATAACACAATTTCAAATTATACTTGAGTGCGGCTTTCACATGCTTACCAAGAATTCGACTTTGCGGTTAGATTTATTTTTTTGGGTTTCTTCTTGTGGCTTCTGTGCATTTTGCGTTGGCTGTCATGGCAGCATGTAGCATGTAGCATGTGGGCGATTTAGAGTACAGCAAACAAAAGGGCGTTATTAGTTCAAAGTCGTGCCCAGGCGTGGGACAAATGCTGCAGGTACTTTTAAGATATCCTAGATAGTAGTGAATTAGAGATTTCCGGCTTAAGGTTGGCCACAGTTTGAGATTATTAACCTTTAGCCGCAGCTAACTGACTTTACCATCATTATATACGAGGTTGAAAACTAAACCAAGACGAAGCAGTTGACTTTTAGCCTGCATTACCTGAATTGCACGTTAACTGCTGTTGTTAACATGTATGCATAAAAAACGATAAAATTAATTGCCTGTCTCTGCATTCTCCACGCAATTTTCACTCAAACGGGGAGAGATAGAGAAAAATCGCCGCTAGCCTTAACAGCTTAGCAACTTGACAAATGTTGCAATGCCATCAAAAATAAAATAATAACAATAAAAGTAGTCATCGTAAAAGGTAAATTAAACGTAGACTGGCAAGGCAGCTAGACCATTGCAACTAGTTGATTGATGGCAGCGCCGCCAGAACGACCAACGACAAAAACAACAAAAACATTAGGAACAACAACACTTGCTGCCGATTTAGCTAGACTTGTGTCCGATTCTGTTAGCTTTTCTTTGCCCAGGCAGGGCTGTTTGGGCCTGTTTGTTAAAACTGCAACAACCAGGCAAATCAAATCCAGTCAAAGCTAATGCAAATTGCTGCCAATTGCCAGCCAGAGGGGAAACAACAGCATCAGCAGCACCGGCATCGCTTTCAATCAATTAGTTTGCTGTTGGTCGGCCATTGGGTCAAGTCGATATAATCAATAAACTATCGCATTTTATTGATAAATTATGCGCTGACTATCGCGACACCGATCGCGTCGCTTACACATGTCTGTGCCTGTTTCAATAAATACTAACGGTAATTGCAGTATATCCCCCCGTTCAACTCTATTGATCGCACACACAGCTTCCCATCAACTTGGCATCGGCCTCGGTAGCCCAAGCTACGGCTGTGGCATCGCCGGAAGTCTTTGTGTGGCAAAAACTTAAGTCTCTTGGGTTTTTGTTTGTCTTGCCGTAGCGCGCAACTCGACTCCATTTAGTGGTTTGGGCCTGGTTAGGTTGTAACAGCTGTATCGTTAAAATGGTAACACACTTGGACCAACTTTCATACCGGATAGCCTATATCTTGTGTTATTATTTAATTTAATTGTTATTTCAGCTGCTGCTGCCTACCATTCCTAATGTGATGCTCATTTAGATCTTCGCAGACTACTTATGGTTAATTGCGGAACTTGTTTTTCCTATAATTTCAATTCTACTCTCTGCACAGAGCAATTAAGCTGCTATGTATGTACATATATCATACATATACAGAATTATGCAACCTAAACTGTTTGAATTCTAGTTCAGGGCAGCGTTTAAACTCAGAATATATAGACAAAATGGATATTTTGGATTGCACAATGATAAAAAAGTAATCAGGCTTAAGGCAGTTAATATATCAATTCTTTCCTCTTCTAAATACAATTTGCCAGATTATAGCTGTATAATATCGAGTAATATTATATGAAATAAGCTGTAAAAAGGTTTTTTGCTAATCTTTAAAGATAACTAAAAATCAACTTTCAAGTCATATCATTGCATCGAAGCTGTATACCTGGGAGTATCACAATTTTTGTTGTTTCTTTTTTTATGATTATTGTGTGATCGCGTTTTAATCACATGCAATTGAACCCAGCTGCAGCTTTGAGCTGACTCTAAACTTTAGTGGCACATGCGAATGATGGCCAAGTGCGGCATTTCTTTGGCGAATCAGTTGTCAGAGTGCCACACTGCCAGAGTTACCTTGAACGGGTTTTCTGTACCACTTGCCGCTTGCCAGAGCTAATCACACCCGCCGCTCCAGCTGCTCCGACTGCTCCAACTTCAAATTCAACTGGAGGCATCTTTGTGTTCTAACTGCAAATAGCACCGTCCACATTCACATCGCGTGCTGCGGTTTTTCTTTGCTTGTACCTGAATATTTGTAATGCAACATTGTTGTTTGGCTGGAAATCTTCTTCATTTTTGTTTTTACCGGAAGCCAAATGCCAGTCTCTTGTTGTTTATGTAGGCGGCGTCCAGTTATGATTGCATTTGCTCCCCTCCTTGTTTTTCTTTATAATTCAATTATGTGCACGTATGCACTTGGGCATTTAATTTGATTTTTTTCTCAGTGTGTATGTTGCTTGATTTTCTGAGTTCAGTTTGTTGCAATTAAGTCACATGTAGTTGTCTCATCCAAATGTTATGGAGACTAGAGGAGTACAAAAATGTCCCAGATAGTCAAATGGGTACAAAATGTCAAATTTCATAATTAATAAAAAAGTTTCCAATTCAATACAACATTTCTTGTTAAATCGGTTTAGTTTGTGCCACGTTAATGTGTAATTATATATAACTGAATTCCTTTTATGTGCTTCTCTATATACATTGCTATACATTGCTTGATGGACAGCTGTATGTCAAACTTATTTTATATCGCATTCACATGCATCTTAAGCACACGTTGAGCAGCTGCACTCATAACTCCCAGATAATGCCAATAATATAAGCTGGATCCATTAGCCGCTTGGACAACGCCTTACTTGGTTGATGGCTCACACAGAGAGAGAGAAAGAAAGAGAGAGAGAGAGGGATAGGGAGAGAGTGAGAGAAAGAGAGACAGTGAGACAGAGAGTAAGAACGTGGCTGAGAGCACTAAGCGTAAAGCTACTTAATGCATACACACACACACACATAACATAAAAACACACACTTGCGAAGCTGGCTGACAGTTGCTAAGCTGCAATTGCTGCCAAGGCTTTGGCCACCACTCAAAGTGGCCGCCAGTCCAACTTATGTTTTCTGTTGCTGCTGTTGCTGATGATGATGAAGATGAGGATGAAGTTATTATTATCTGACAAGGGCATCGCCGCACAACAGACAAACTGCATTGGCTGCACTTAGCTAGCATTTGAAGTGAAGAGTTCTTCAGCAGAAGCAGTAGCTATCTTTATTTGAGGCGTGACTAATTCCCACTCCCATTCCCTCATACCCATCTAGTGGTAACTGTGTACGCTTTGCTATTTGCTCAGCAGCAACGGCAGCAATCATTATTAGGCGACTCCGTCGATCTGTAAACGGCTGTAAATTCCGTCAATTTGATTAGCTCAAAGTGCTCAACTGCAGCAGTTGCTCAAAGCTTGCTTCCGTGTACTGCAACTTCGTGTTGATGATCTCCAAATTTATGCGACAGCAGAGTTGAAAGTGTTAGATTTTTGTTTTTCTGGCAAGTTCCTTGTTCTGCACAACAGTATCTTGCATACTAAATGAACCTTTCGAAATTTGAAAGTCTAGTAAATTGTATGTAGCCAGCATGCGATCGATCAATGCTGCATTCAATTTCCTTTTCAGCCGTGAAAGTGGCCACAGCGCTCAATAAATTATGTTGCTCCATGTAACCAGGTAATTAGTGTAGCGTTTGACAATGTAGACAATAAATTTGAAAACGAAATAGAAAGCCATAAAAATACAAATAAAAGTAAAAATTTCAAATACATAATAGGCAGTGCAACCAAAAAAAAGAACATGAAAATTTATTAAACACACACAAAAAGAAGAAGAAAAATGTCAATGGTTAACAAGCAGCGGGCATAAAAAGAGCCCCCGAACTACAGAAAATAATTACAAGCCAAGAACAATAATAATAAGCAGAAAACTGCAACAGCATGGCCAGCCTGTCAGTAGCAACTAAAGCAACAGCAGCAGCAGCGATGGCAACTACAAATACTGCTGCAACCACGGGCAGCCTGGAGCCGGCGGTGGTGCCACGTACCGCCAATTTGCTGGCATGCAAACAATGGTGGCGCGTCTGCTTCTTGTACGGCGACCAGCAGAAATATTATCGACAGCTCTATAGCAAGGCGGCTGCTCAGCGGCTGGCGGCTAGCGGCAGCGCCAACGAGGCTAATCATGAAAATGACAATGCCAGCAGCAACAGCAACAACAATAACTGCCAATTGACGGGAACGGGCGATGACTACGATACGGTTGGCTTTAGCACTGGCGATTGCGATTTTATCGCAGCGCAATTAGATGCCAGCGAAGATGCGGACGATGGCATCGATCTGGGCGATAGCATCCCCCAAGCCACAGCCAGTAAGCAGCGAATAACAACAACAACAGCAGCAGCTAACAGCAGCAATCGACCACTGTTTCCCGCCAAATGCGAAACATCGCAATCTACACCGCGCCGCAGTAAAAAACTGCTGAGATCGCTGCGTGCTCACGTCAAGGGCGAAAGTAAGCAGAAGGAGCCAAAAGAGGAGAAAGAGCTAAAGGAACAGGAGGAGCAGGAGCCAACTAAGCGGAATGCCAAGGTAACTGTGCTGGACGATCCCTTTCTGTTTGGTATCGATGCAGATCATTTGGGTGATCTCATTCGTGGCAAGCACTACAGCCCAGCGGATGCCACCGAACACATTGCCAAGTATTATAGTATGCAGCTAGAGCCGCAGCCTGATTTAGAAGTTAGTTGCACCGCATCGGTGCTGGAGATCATTGAGCAGTCCGAGGAGGAACTACTGGAGGAGCCAAAGCCAGCCTTGCCACCCAAGCAAAAGCAACAACGCACCGCACCACCGCCACCCGCACGCACAACTCCAGTTCCCGCACCCACGGCTGCCCTACAGCCGCTTACCGCCAGCGATCTAAAATTTCTGAATTTGAGCCTGCGCCAACGCAGCCTGCCACGCAACATGAAGCCGTTTAAGGATCCACACGATATCAGTTTCACTTTCAACGAGCTGAACGGCAGCGCACCGGAAGTGGTTGTCGGCATTGCTGCATCTGGCACCAGAGATGGGGGAAGAGGAGCAACTGGTGCAGCGTCACAGCAGGAACCAAATGAGTGAGTAACTTTTGCCCTGATCATTTGTCAGTTTGCATATTGCTGACAATTTAAATGCATAACTTTTCAAAAGTGGCTGCTGCTGCTCCCCGGTGTGTAAATAATGATTGATTACCTGGCAGCAGCAGCGACAGCAACAACTTGTTGCGCAAGTTGGCAGCCCCAGAAGTCAATGAACACACATTGCATCTTCTCTCCGATACCCGCAAAAAATAAAAAAATAAATAAGAAAAAACCGCAAAACTGCACGCAACAGCAACGCACAACAGCAACAACAACTTGTTCTGTGTGTGCTGCTGCTGCTGTTGAAATTGAAACCACTGCGAGACGCTCAACTGTTAACTGGTTGGGCTCTTGGCTCTTGGCGCTGTTTGCTTGGCTGACTAGCTGACTGGATGACTGGCTGTCCGGTTTTGCTTGTTTATTGAGCGCTGCTCTTGCCGTGCATGCGCATCACTCACTCACTCAGTCAGCAACAGCAGCAACATAGCGACAGCAACAACAACAACGGCATCTCATTCTCGGGTTACGCATACGCCGCATTTGCCGGCAGCAAACAGGCAACAGGAGAGACAGCGACAGCGACAGCAACTGCCAAAGTGTGATTTACCAGTGCCTTTGTCTGGCGCGGTTCGCTTTACATAAACATGAACAGCAGTCGCTGTTATTGTTGTTTTTGTTGTTGTTGTTGTTGCTATGGCTCATGTCATGATTGTGCATAATGCCATGCAAATATTGTGGCCCTAAGTTATTGTGTTTGTGCAGCACGCAGTTTATGAAATATGGGCGCTGCCTGGCCGAAAAGGCATCGCAGCGTATTCAATGTATTAGAGGGCCACAAAGCACTGCAATTGTTCTGCTGTGTCATGACATTTCCTTTTTGGCTGCAGTCGAGCGCAAAAATATTGCATATATTGTCCACAGGGACTACACATCTTTTTCTTTTTGTCATTTTTTTTTGTTTTACTATGGTGCAGAAAAACAAAAGACTTAGGCAACGAACTTGCTGCACAGATCTGAAGCGAAGAATGCACCGCAGACAAAAAGAGCGGGAAAAACACAACTCAATTAGCTGCTGTTACTGCTGCTAAGGCATTGAAATTATGGCGCACATAGGAGGCGACATAAACGTGCAGCAAATCAATGCATTTCAAAGGGGCTGGGCAGCAAAGGCAAGCAAAGAACGCACTAGAAAGCATAATAAATAATAATAACAGACTCCGTTTTGAGGCGACCTGACAGCTAACTGCCAGCAGCTAAATCAGAAGCAGCAACCAAATGAATCTGGTATTCTGGAATTCAGTAGCCGCCATTTGCCACACGCGAGGCAAGCAAATCAGCCCCGCGGCAGGTTTGACTAACTCTCTGTCTCTCTGTCTGACTTCCTGACTAATCTCTTGGTTTTTCTATGGATTTTGCCACCAGTTTTCTAATGCACCCACTGATATACTGGGCATTTTAATTTCAACTCTTTGCAACTCTTAATGAAGTTATTAAAAAATTGCCCGCCAATCATTTAAGTTGCAGTCGACCATCTTCCAGCCATCGCACCGCATTCGTTCTTAATGGCTGCAGGTTTTACCTGAAATTTCAGCAGTCGCTGCCCCATTCGGCTAAAGCAATTGGCAATGATGCTGTGCTCAACTCGTGTCTGAGCATTCAATTCAATCTTAACTACCATCGACAGTTGCATAAATCTTTAGCTTTAGTTGGCCTTACTGACGCTATTAACATATACTACATACATTAGATGGTATACCACGGCTTAACCAGCTTCTCAAGCCTTGTATTTTACGACTATTACATGTAGTTGCTTCTTTTCCTAATGAAAAATATAATATCTCTCTCACAACATAATTAGCATGCACGCAATGATAGCTTAAGAATACTAACAAAATCCAAAAAGGTATAGGATTTGTGTAAAAAATAAAGCCTTCAAATAACAGAATTTTTATAGCACTCGTGACAGTGAGTATAGTAGAATAGTATTGATGCATTGCTTTCTTGTAAATTCGAATTTTATGCCTAGCATCTATAGCCCTTCTTAAACACAGCATTGTGAAGATATAAGATATAACAGTAAATTGATTTCTTAACTGAACTTTTCTTCTTTAGTTGCCAGAATAGCTCGTTTATAAAGACAATAGAAGTTAAGACTGTAACATTTCTTTGTGTTCAAATTTTACAAACTGCTCTAGTGGACAGTGCGTGACTAGAAGTTGGCCTGCATCGATGATATTTGTTGCACTGATGGTATATCTATGTTCAATGTATAGATAAATGTAGAGTGCTTTACAATAATAGAAAGAGTGCAATTTGTCACTGGTAACGCCCTTACATTCAAAGAAGATATTCATATTGATTTTGTTTTTAATTAAGAAAGCCATTAAGGGCACTTGGATAGCCGGCACCAACAACAACTGATATTAAAGGCAAGTTCCACTGGCACATTTGCCAGAGCTCCTGATAAATGACTCTGGGGCGTTACTGAGTCATTTGTGTGACTTCGCTGCTGGTGCAGCATGGCATCGCACAGCTATTACTGTGACTGTTGCAAAATTGCAGAAGCAATTACAAAACCAAACTCAATCTTGGCAGTGCATGCAACAGTCATGGCCCGCCACACAATTGGCCAACTTGCTTAGTAGCCAGCTTGCCTTTTGGAGGTCCAGACAAACTAAGAGTAAGACCGACGGCGCCAGTCAAGTGCGACAGTCAAAGCAACAAGTGAATCGCTTCGTGATTTATTTATGCAAAAACTAAAAAATATTATCTTTATATATGTTTTTGTTTTGCGTTCCTCTTCTTGTGAAATTAAGGGAGGCCATTAAAGTATTTATCTTCATACAAATGTTAACTTCTTTCTCACTCTGTATCTGGCACCCTGCCGCTTTAGCACAAGCATTTGGCATGCTAATTACAAAGTCATGAATGGAGAGGGCTGTCAGCCGAGTTTAGCCCGTATGTGTTTTTGTGTCTTACCAACAATTGCGTCGCATATTAATTGTATATTTTGCTTACGCGTGATTTGAGCTACGATAATGGCCATAAGCCAGTTGCCCTTCCACACGCTGAAGCATTTCTCAAGCGCTCGAGCAGCTGTCAAAATGTCCAAATCCAAATCACATCGGGCATATCCGATTGCCAGATATCAGGGGCCGAAAAGAAATTGAAATTTAATTTTAATTCGAGATGAACGTGTGTCGGATTAAACACGAAACACGACACTCATCGCTATGTTGCACAAATAACTGAAATTTCATCAATTGCGTATGTATTTTACAATGGTTTTCTAATTTTAGCCTTTCGAAGCCTGAAGCTATTCAAATTGATTCATTTTCAACCACCATGCCAAATATCCCTTTATTAACAAAGTCGTATCGTTTGGTATTGAGCCAGGCACGTTCGTGTCACGCGTCCATCTCTAGCTGGGATTACAGAATTCCTGCCATTCTGCCAACTCACGATACATTTTGTTTAGCTTCAACATGTCTGCGCCCACGTCAGCCAATTGGTTTTGGATATATTTTGATACAAATACACGTACACACTCACACACACACTAGCATTACATAGGTCTGAAAAGAAATGCGTATTTTAGCATTATGCAGATCTGGAGCTGCCTTTTGTTGCCAAAAGTTGACAGCTAAATGACATGCGCCTCGGAGCATAGACTTTTCATTGTTCCGCCTGGGCCATTGTTGCTGCGGGCTAACATTACCAAAAGGCAAGCAGAACGGAGCATTCAGCTCGCACGCAGCCGCATATTAGGCGGCAACAAATCACTTAGTGCATTTCTCGCTAATTAATTAAACAATTAACGCATACACGCGCTTAACATGCCGGCTATAAATTTATGGCCGATAGCAGGGCAACAGCAACACCAGCAGCAACAAAATTAAAGAAAATAAATAAAACTAAGAGGGAAAAACCGCGCGTAATTTTTATTGACAGCTTCACTTTGGCGAAGTGCACTCTTTGCATTTAAATTGCCTGCATGCCACTCTGCTGCATGCTTACCTGCTTCAGAGAGAGAAATAGATATAAAGATAGAGATAGAGAGATGTAGCGGGTGGGAGGGGTAGTTAGTGCATTAACACTCTTTGCATTCCTGCCTCGTTAGATGTTGAACTTGCTAGCCCAAGTTGGTGGCCAGGCTTTTCAGGTTTTCTTACCACAGTGGCAAGTGGCAAACAGTGGACAGTCAGCAAAGTCGTTAGTTTCTAATCATGATAAGCGTTTTTGGGCCCGGCAAACGAAACGACTCGTTGTGCATTATCATTGTTTGTGTGCATTTGATATTATCGAGAACAGCTTTTGCAAGCAGCCAAGTGACTAGTTGTACATAGATAACCAGATCTGTTAGTACAATTTCTTAAACACTGTAACGAAATTTACAATAACAGTTTTTATATCAGCTCGATAACAACAAGTCCATTTAGATTTAAAGTTACGAATGAGAGCTGGTCCAAAAATACCCATCTCATATAACTATTCATATGGTATTTGATACTGTCTTGGTGTAGTACTAAGAGCAATTAAAGTGTATAATTATATGATTTGATAGAAAAGCAGCAATTAACCTGTAATACATATATCACGTTTTGCAATGATGACCAGTTTTTGCAGTGCGTCAGTTATAGCCATGGCATTAAGATCTCTCTAGGATTGTTGCCTTAAGCTGCTATCGTCAGTAGCAACTTTGCGTTTATCGTTTGGAATCAGTTGCATATGCTGCTATTGATATTGTCATGCACTCATAAAGCAATTAGCAATGGCATTAAATGCCATGTTTAGTCCAGCTACAGTTGTCAACATACCAAACAACAGTTAGTCACCAAGTTCAGATCGAACAGTTACCGTTGACTTTGTCAACATTTGCCAAAAGTTCTGCGCTTAATTTTGCCTGTTGTCGTCGTCTTGTTGTCGTTGGCGGACCTGCAACAACTCACAACAATACACAACTAGGGGACTAGCAGCCAAAACAAGATCTATTCAGA